AATTCGATGTTTTCTCCACTATGATTGTCAAGTCGAAGACTTTGTGACGACATGAATCATTCAGCTAGCTAAACAAAGGCAGTTATAAGATATATGTACAATAAAGTTGAATTCAACTAGCCAAACAATGGCAAATTAAATCAAATTTACTAAATAAGGAGTTTCGGTGAATATGGACTAATGGAGTTGAGGAACACCTGTTATAGTCGAATTCACACGAGCACTCAGAAATCTCATTTTTAAACCGATATTTCTGCACTGCCATGACTAGATGAGTCTAAGAAGCTTGAACAAATGGAAGATTTCAGAGAACTGAAACATAAGTGTTCTAAAAAGTATAGCAACTAACTATGCTAGTTGAGTCATTTTGTTTGCCTCCGATCAAAATGCCAGACAGAAAAAAGGGGGGCATGCCATAATCTTTACAATGACTGAGAAAAAAAGGACCAGTCGATGAAAAAACCCTTAAAATTTAGGTATCTAACCTCAAAACCAATCTTTTGATATTGATATTTGTCAAAGATTTGCAGCTATAAAAGATTAGAAGAGCATTTGATTCGTTTGTTATCCAATGAAATCCTGTTTTAGGATTTGCTTCAATTGTGAAACCTAAAATGAGGCAACATTTTCAAAATTACTTTTGATATTTTTCAAAATTTTGAAAATAAAAAGAATAAGAAAAAAAATTTCAAACAAGATAATCTCTGGAAGCATATCTTGGAATTCAACAAATATCTCTCCGAAGCTAAGGATCGAAGCTGGGGGCAAGAGAAGCCAAATTTTTTGGCAAAATATGATGGGGCAAGGAAAACAAATTGACCGAGGTCAAGGTTTGCAAGAGTCACACTGGTAGAAAATGAAGACCACTGAATTAACGATAGAGTGAAAACTGCTCTCGCAATCATTGTCCTCCGATCAAAATGCCAGACAGAAAAAAGGGGGCATGCCATAATCTTTACAATGACTGAGAAAAAAAGGACCAGTCGATGAAAAAAACCTTAAAATTTAGGTATCTAACCTCAAAACCAATCTTTTGATATTGATATTTGTCAAAGATTTGCAGCTATAAAATATTAGAAGAGCATTTGATTCGTTTGATATCCAATGAAATCCTGTTTTAGGATTTGCTTCAATTGTGAAACCTAAAATGAGGCAACATTTTCAAAATTACTTTTGATATTTTTCAAAATTTTGAAAATAAAAAGAATAAGAAAAACATTTTCAAACAAGATAATCTCTGGAAGCATATCTTGGAATTCAACAAATATCTCTCCGAAGCTAAGGATCGAAGCTGGGGGCAAGAGAAGCCAACTTTTTTGGCAAAATATGATGGGGCAAGGAAAACAAATTGACCGAGGTCAAGGTTTGCAAGAGTCACACTGGTAGAAAATGAAGACCACTGAATTAACGATAGAGTGAAAACTGCTCTCGCAATCATTGTCCTCATATATCAACATATATATACATCAACACATACATACATGATACATGAAATTTGCATCTTTGCATTCATCATCATGTACAATAAAGACTTTGATTTTCCCTCTCTTGAGGACAAGTTCAATAATTCATCAAATAAAATACTAACTTCATCATGACACCCATAAACATCTAAGATAGTCAGTCATAAATGCATGAAGAAACAATGTCATCTACAGATTCAACATCCTGGAGTGATTGATCAGATATTCTCAACGTACAAGAACAAGCAGACTGTCTATCGACCTTGAGATTATTTTCTTAAAAACAAATTTTGTCTCACTTGAGACGGTTTCTCTCGGAATATAAATTTCAAAGTTGTTTTACTTGAAACAAAGTTAATCTCACTTTCGGTTGAGATAATTTCCCCTTAAAAAACAAATTCTGAAATTGTTTCACTAGAAACAAAACACCAATCTTTGAGATCGTTTCCCTTGAAACAAATTTTGTCTCTCTTGAGACAATTTCCCTTGAAACACCAATCTTTGAGTCTATTTCCCTTGAAGTAAATCCCTAAAGATGGCCAGCCATCCTCATCGTGTAGGAACCGAGTCACCCCTAGATAACCAGTCGTCCTCATCACGTAGGAACCTTGTTATCATCCCTAAAGATGGTCTACCATCCTCATCACCTAGGAACCGTTTCATCCACCGACCAGACCTCCTCATCACGTAGGAGCTGTGTCACCCCTAGATAACCAGCCATCCTCATCGCATAAGAACCGTGTTATCACACTCCCTAAAGATGGCATGTCGTCATCATCGTATAGGAACCGTGTTATCCACCAACCAGATCTCCTCATCACGTAGGAGTCGTGGAACCCTTAGACGACCAGACCTCTTAATCATGTATGAGCAGTGTTGTCCCCAACAACAAACATATCAAATTTCCAAGAAAGAAAGAAAAAGAACCGGACAAAAACTTGTTGTCTTTTTCATATTTTCCCCATTCTTGTTAACACAAGAATGTGCAAAGAGGAGCAGCTGTAGACAATCGTTTTTGTCTGGGTCTAAAAAATATTATTTTATTAGTATTAGTATTATTATTATTATTAATTAATTAATTAAATATTTGTTGTTGCATGCCTAAACCCAAGACCATCACAAGCCCAACCCTAACTGGGAGCCCAGAACCCAGATCACCCTAGAGGCCCAAAGCAAATGCCACCAGGCCTACCCGGGTGACCCATCACTCAGCAGCCCAATAATCCCCAAACCCGGATGACCCAACTATGACCTGATTCAAACCCAGACCCTTTTCTCGCATCCGACCCGACCCAAGATCCAACCCAGCCCCCTAGGGTTTTTGAACCCTAACCCTAAGGATATGATGTTGCTACCACCGCTTGTTTCTACTGCCACCGCCGACTGTTCCCACCTGCACCAACACAGTGACCAAATCAATTAGTCCATCAACAATAATAATATCAAATCAAATCAGTCCAAAATCCCGAGGGGATTTATTTTTCATATATCAATTCATATAATCAAACATAAAGGGGGAGACAAAAAATATCAGGGGGATTCAAGGTTCAAAGAAAAAAGAGGATAACAGAAAAGAAAAAACAAAGGGAGACAAAAAGGGAAACCATAGAGCATTCGAACAAAAAAATAATAAGGAAAAATAACAACAGCAAAAACAAAAGAAATAGAGAAGCATTCGAGAGAGAAAAAAAGAGAAGGGGAGAGAAAAACATAAAAAAAGTGCTTACCTTTTTATTGGTCGAAGTTATGGTCTCTATCGAGACAAAGCTTTCGATTTTAGAAGGTAACCTCTGATTTCTTTTAGATCTTGGACAAAGGGTGGTGTTTTAAGGGGATTAGGCTTGATTTTTCGGTTGAGGGCGAAGTGGGGAGTCTTTTGGGGCGTTTTTCTCTTTCCGGTCGCCGTGGACTCCACCTGCGACGGTGACCTTTTCTCTTCCCCGATGAAGGAGTTGAGAGAAAATGATATTTCTCTCTCCTCCCTCTGTTTCTAAGTTAAGACAAATGAAATTGTTGGTTGAATTTTGGCCTTGTTTGGCCTTAAATACCAAGCGTAGAACGACGTCGTTTCAATGAGGGAGGGTGTCGGCGTGTTTTAAAAAAAGGTAAATAGCAGTGTAGGTCACTACCTTTTGTAATCTAACTAGTATTGGTCACTTCTTTAAGGGTAAACCACGGTTTATGACCCCCACGTGTTGTAATGTTCTATTTCAGTCAGTTAATGAAGTTTTATTTTATTTTATTTCAAGCACTAATGTTTCAATACTTGTATTTTAGTCATGTTTTTACTTATTTTGTTATTATTGTTAATGTTTGACTTTGGTCATGATATTTATAATTATTTCAATTTAGTCATTGTGTTGTATATTATTATATTTAGGTTTATTTTCTGTTTTTACCTTTATATTTCTAGTTGAGTTTATTTTGGTCCCTAACATTATTTATGGGTTATTTTCACTTCTAGTACTTGTACTATTTAATATTTTAGATCTTTGGAATCTGGTTTATTTATATTTGTGGTTCAGCCCTTTGAATTTCTATTTTTGCTATTTTAGTCCTTTAAGTTTCTATTTTTGCTATTTTGGTCCTTTAAATCGAATTTGATTATTTATTGTTTTTATTATTTGTATTTTTGATTTGTAATATTTTAATTTGTTCTAATCCTACATGTATATGTATTTGTATATTACGGTTATATATGTATTATTTTAAATAGACGTTATCAGCTATGTGTATCGTGAATATTTTATTTCGTAAATTTTAAATTGTATTTGTTTTCAGTGTTTATTCGTTATCTATCGATTAATATTATCCGAATATTTTCAAGAACACATATTTGTAGAACGGGCGTGGAAAGTATCACTTGATCGAAGTGGTACAATCCAATACGATGTTTGAACGAAATGGGACTTGAAATAAATCTATTTTACTTTATTAATTAAATATTTTTATGTGAATGATTCAATACGTTTTTTTATTTATTTTATTTTTATGTAAATGTCAATATTCATTTTTATTTCGATATGCGTTATTCGAAGATAGAATATTCTTTTACGAATGAGAAATGGTTGAGATAGCTTTCTCGACGGAGGATTGCGAATTTCAAAATTTCTTATCGAGTAAAATGATTTTCTTTTAAATAATTAATTCGAAGCAATTTAATAAATGGATCACATTTTAATTTTATATTCGATTCCTAATTTTCACCATGCACGACAACGTGTAAGCGATTCAGTACCAATTTTAGGGCGTTGTGGGGGTACTTACCCTTCCCCACACGTAACCGACTCCCATACCCGTTAAATCGAATTTTTGGTAAACACATACCAGTTTTTGTCTAAAAAACGATTTTTCTTAAAATTATTTTTAAAAGACATTTTTAGATATTCGACCTAGCTAACCCAAAGGTCGATGGTGACTCCTTTTCCATTTAATTCAAATCAATTCAAAAATCACAATTTTTCCAAATAAAAAGTCATAACTGTTTTTTAAAATAATATTTAATTGTTTTTCAAAAAAATAGTTATGACACCACCATTTTGGGCAGTTATTTATAATGTTCTATGATGATGTACCTTAATGTGTTTTTAAGTGATTCTTATACTTACCACTGTTTTTTTTCTGTCTTATCTTCAGAAACACGGCAAGGGATATTTGATGCAGTGTTAAAAGGACATATTGACTTCGATTCAGACCCATGGCCCTTGATATCTGATAGTGCAAAGGACTTAATCCGAAAGATGTTATGCTCTCGACCTTCAGAGCGACTGACTGCTCACGAAGTATTATGTATGTTATACATACCGCCTCTCTATTATTATCTAAGTCGGTGTAAATGAAATAAAGATCAAATTGTGGTATCTTTGCCTTTTTTATTGTTTAGGTCATCCTTGGATTTGTGAAAATGGGGTTGCTCCTGATAGGGCACTGGATCCAGCTGTACTTTCTCGCCTCAAACAATTCTCAGCAATGAATAAGCTAAAGAAGATGGCTTTACGGGTAAGATTCTCGTGTTGTATGTTCCCGAGTCGACATATGTGTATCAGACTGCTCACTGTGAGAGAAGCTACAGAATGTAAATGTATAAAAAGGATCTTGTCTAATACATCACACACTGTTATCTTCGTGCCATGAAGGCCTAATATGCAATTGATGCAGCAGAAGCTAGCTGTCTGTGATTAAAAGAACAATGCATGGTTTTTTTTCTCGATTATTTCTTTGCCTCGGTCTAGCATGTCTTCGCATTATATAGTTTTAGAGTTTAGTCTAAAGCACATTGGAACTTCATGTTGGATTAAACATACTCTATCCTTTTTCTACCATCAGGTGATAGCTGAAAGTCTTTCCGAGGAGGAGACTGGTTTGAGAGAAATGATTACATCTATGGATACTGATAACAGTGGTGCGATCACATTTGATGAACTCAAAGCTGGTTTACGAAGATATGGCTCTACCTTGAAAGATACAGAGATAAGGGACCCTATGGATGCAGTAAGTTTATCTTATTTTTCATCAGCTTCCTTTTTCTCTGAATCATTCATTCAATGAATTTGTGAGGGGTGCAGCATTCTTGTTCCCTCGTATTTGTGGATATATGTTTTGTACAATGGTGACAACAACATAAACGACTAATGTTGTTGCACTGCTTGTTACGTTTTTACTGTATTAATTGCATGTTTGCACCCGAATCATCTGAGATTATTTATGTGTTCTCAGGCTGATGTTGACAATAGTGGGACTATTGATTATGGAGAATTTATAGCTGCAACAGTTCACCTTAACAAACTAGAGCGTGAGGAGCATCTCGTTGCAGCATTCCGATACTTCGATAAGGATGGAAATGGCTATATTACCGTCGATGAGCTTCAGCAAGCTTGTACTGAGCATAACATGACAGATGTTCTGCTTGAGGATATAATTAGAGAAGTTGATCAAGATAATGTAATTCATCTTACCTTGATGACTGGATGGAAACAATATTCTCGAGTTAGCTAATTTGTTTGAATTTTTTTAATTGAATGTTACATTTGTTTTCTGGTATGATTGAACACGGTTTTGGTAATAACATATGATGTCAAGTCCCTTTTCGCTGTCTCACTGTCTATGGTTGCTAAATATAAGCATGATACATAGCTGTGGGATTTCTGCTAGCGTGTCCTTGATCCTCACTGCACTGTTCCCTCAGTTCGATTATTTCTTTTTTGCATTCATTTGATGATTAAGTTTTTCTGACACTACTGCTTTTCTTTTTCAGGATGGAAGAAATGATTACGGTGAAATTGTGGCGATGATGCAAAAAGGCGATGCAGGAATTGGTGGACGAACCATGCGAAACAGTGTTAATATAAGCATGAGAGATGACCCCAGTGCTCTATAATTTCCAGCCACTCACATCCTGTAGAGGTATCTTCTGTCTTGCTTCTTAGATCAGGATAGTCTAACCACAAGTAAAATTCGGATTAAATGGACATTTCGTCTCACTTCTAACCTCGAAACCGAAATGGTCTGCAATGGTGCAATTCTAAAGACCTCTGCGCCGGAATAACAATAATTGAAAAACTCCGGTATTGTTGTATTGGCGTTGCATTATCACTAAAAGGGATCGAAAGAGACATGTTTCGTTTAGCCTTACTCGAATTAAATGGTACTGACATCTACTTATACACAGATTGTACAGCCAACGGTTTTAAAAAAGGGTCTGCGACCGCGATTTTGGCCGCGATATAGCTGTTTCACCTTCGTCCGAGTTACCCCACAGCCGCAATCGCGGTAAATCCGAAATAACCGAAAACTCGACTGACCCAGAACCAGACGATAATGATCCGTGATAAAGCATTCGGGAAACGGCTCTGGTTCCTTGCATGCTTCGGGACTTTGCCGGAAAAGAAACGGTTGGTTGGCTATTGGTTTGTGAATTGGCTTACTTGACCAATCATAGGTTTTGTAAACTTGAGGAGTGTTAAAGTTATTCAAATTACGGTGTCATTAGTCATGTCTCTAATAGATGGGGTTTTTTTTGTTGTTGTTGAAGAATTTGCAGATAATTGTGTCTTTAAATTGATAGATATGTTGATTTGGTCCTTCATAATTCTAAATTTTTAGCATGATTCCTGTGTGTTTACTTGTACAATATTTTCTACATCAATTTCACTTTCTTGCAATTTCTCCAATGATACGACTTTAAATTAATTTTATGATTTATATTTGAAATTGATTGTTCCGTTTTGTAATAATATTGTCTTTAAATTTTAAACGTAATTCTCTAGTTTAGAGTATGACATGTTTTATTATTACACTCAACAATACCGAGAATTAATCTACTATTCCAATTCGTCGGTAATACGAGGGGTCCCCGTGACAGTACTAGTGACAAAAAGTAGTCATTTTCTGCACTATTCAAGCTCATGCAAAACGGCTCTCGAAATTCCCAGATAGATATAAGATTTTATATTAGAAACATAAATTTATAAAGATAAAAATATATTATTAATAAAAAAAATTAAATTTTCAAGAAATAATTGTACCACTTGTCCATTCCGCTGCAGTAGTAACTCACTTGCTTATCTTCCTAAGAGGATGGCTAAAATGGTTTCTACCGACAAAATTAAAAAAGTCCGTCGCATAATAATTTTATTTTTGGTTGTATATGGTGCTGTGCTAACTTAGATTTGGTTTCACGAATCATGGGAATATAACACCAGAATATATATATGTAAGATCACATGGGACGTGGCTTGGTGACCAAAAGCTCATCTCATCATGTGCTAGCCTGGAAACTACAATTCTGGTCCATGCAATATTTGCACCGACGCATATAGAGAAAGCGACGCAATATATATTTTTGGTACAATAACTTCATAAAATTTACAAAAATAAACATTCAATTTGCTTAAATATATAATGGGGTTTGAAACTATTTAGAATCAGATACAAAATAATAAATAAATTTTACATTACATGAATAAATACCATACTCTCAAAATCGAACCCTGTAGTGACGACCCTTTCATCGGAGCTAATACAAGTTTCCAATAAAATGGATTCACTGGCATCTCCATATCGCCATAGCCAAGCAATATCACTTTATATAACAGAACATTTGCATTATATATTGTAAACAAATTAATGAAAGCTTAAACGAAAGAACAAAAGAAACCCAGACTATTTTGATCCTAAGCAATGAAGCTTTATTTGAAGGTGGCGGAATTCAAATTCTCCGAGATTCAACCACAGGTATAACTGTTTCCATCATCGAAATTCTTGGAGTAACCAAGAGGATTGTACCTGCAAGTTTGTGGGAGGCGATCAGATCCCACGAGTTTTCTGATCTCAGATCTGACTTTGTAAAAGACATGCCTCCAGCTGCCTTTGTTGTGGCACCCAAGGGCCCTGGTTTCTTCTTCGTTCATCTCGATGTCTTTAGCGAACATGGGTTTCTTGGAAAGGATCCAAGACCAGCCCCAGTCCCACCATTTTTTAATCGAGCTACCGGTGTATTCTCCCATGGCAGACAAAGATTTTGACCTGGGTAATGTCCAGGATTTCTCCGGTGAATAGGTGGGTTGTAATTTGACGGAAAGAGCGGAGAGCCGCCATCGTAGCCTCCCTGGGGCGCCGGAGGCTTCTTGGAGGTGGTCTTTGGATTCGGTTTGCGAGACTGGGAGTGCAGTGTTTTTTTGGAAGCTTTGAATGATGGAGCTCATGGTTGCTGGCCTATGGCGAGAAACTAGATGGCTAAAGAGATTTGACTGACGGCCGGTAATGGTGGCGTTGCTGCCAGGAGAAAGAAGAAGAAAAAAAAGGAAGGAGGCGAAATGTTAGTGTTCACAGTTCCATTACATTACAGCTTGTTTTTATTCCCTTGAAATTTTGGATTGTCAAAGTTGTGGTGGGCTTTTTTGGCGCGTTTAAAATAAAAAATTAGTTTTTTTCCATCCTCAATTTTTATTAAAGATCTATCGACATTTGTCACGTTATTGGGAGAACTCGTCACTTAAAAGTAACTAGTTTTTTGAAATATATTTTTTAGTGAATTTGGATGAATAAATTTTACGTGAATCATTAATTTATTATTTTTAAATAGATTCATCACGTCAAGATGATTAATTCATTAAAAAATTTATTATTGAATAAAATTTTAAATTAGAAATTAAAAAAAGGTGACTAGTTCCATCGAATTAAAAAAACTAACAGTTGGTCAAAGGGAAATTATGCAATGGTTATAATAGAATTTATCACGTCGAGATGACGAGTTTATTTAGATTAAATTTTAAAAAATTAATAATTTTATTAAAATAATATTATTTACAAACTAATAAAATTTATTTATATTTTTTAAGTTCTTGACGATGTTCGGTGAGTGATCGAATGATAGTGGCACGTGACTCATTCGAGTACACAGTGATCATCAACCTTGGTCGTCATTATCATCGCCATCATTATAGTTTACAAACTAATAAAATTTATTTATATTTTTTAAATTCTTGACGATATTGATGAGTGATCGAATGATAATAGCACGTGACTCATTTGAGTACACAGTGGTCATCAACCTTGGTCGTCATTATCATCGCCATCATCTTCATCTTGCTGGTCTATATATTATTTATAGCAAATATCATATAAACCTAAATAATATTGGATGATTGGTAAATCCCTAAATTATTATTTTAATGGTCCTCTTGGCCCAAAAAAGCCCTTAGACCAGGTCGTCCGACTTGGGTTTTAAACGGCATAATCATAAAAAAAACATCTTTAATATTTTAAGATAAGAGTCTTTATTATAAAATAAAATATTGAGCATCAAAGTGTTAAAAAATGATTAAAGTCATTATTTACTCAAATATTAAAAGTTTTTTTATCTTAAAATTAAACGTTAGAGGGTCAAAAATAATAAAAGAAATAATTATTTAATCAAACCTTAAAAATAGGTCTGTAAACGAACCAAACGTTTAGCGAACTGTTTGTGAACTGTTCGGCGAGAAGTTCATTTATATTCTTTTATTTATTAAACGAACGAACATAAATAAGATTTTATGTTCATTTAGTTAAATGAATGAATATGGACAAATGTCTTGTTTGTTCATTTACGTTCGTGAACGTTCGATAATCCGTTCGTTTATGTTCGTTCATTTATGTCCGTTTATGCTCGTTCGTGTATGTTCGTTCATTTATGTCTATGAATGTTCGTTATGTTCGTTCATTTATGTTTGTGTATGTTTGTTCATGTTTGTACATTTATGTCTGTGTATGGTCGTTTTTGTCCGTCTGTGTATGTTTGTTTGTTTTTGTCCGTTCGTTTATATTCAGCCCAATCTCCATACTCATTTAAAATATTAAGACCGAATCATTAATACTTTAAAACCCAAATAATTTGAAACTTAGATCAATTAAAGAAAAATATAAACCATACCCATTTAAAACCTAAATAATTTTAACTCTGAAGTTGTAGGTTACATTAATGAATCATGAATTTTATGTGGTTATTTACGTTCGCTTACGTTCATTTATTGTGTTTGATTATGTTCATTTTTTTATGTTCGTTTATGTTTGTTTATTTGTGTTCGTTTATCATCTAAATGAACAAACACAAACAAACTACGTTCCTTAATGAATGAACACGAACAAAAAATATTGTATTCATGTTCGTCCATTTGTTTAGTTAAAATTAAAAGAACGAACATAAACAGTTCATTTAGAAGCCTACTTAAAAAGTATATTTTTGACATTATACCAATCTGTAAGTACATATATTTTATCCTCCAAAAATGGCAACCGGACTTTAAGTCAATTTTTAAAAAAAACCAACCCCCATATCAAAACCAAAACTTTCATAGAAAACAAAGATAATGAGATTTTACATGCTTTCCCGTTCTCTTTAATTAGTAAAATAGTAGAAGGCGTAAATAAATATTATTTTTAGGATATATAATTGATATTATGAGAATATTTTATGTTGTGACAAATTTTCCTTTTCGAAGCTGAACATGGAATCATGTACTGGATACGGTCACTAGGATGTGTTTGGAAGCAAAGCTACATTTGTGTATAATTAGCAATGCAAATAGAATGAATCGAGACTCTAAAAATAGCAAACTGGAAAGACATCAAAGCTCCTTCATAGGAGCCTCATTTCTTCGCCTTTGCGAACCTGAGGCATCGGTACTTTTCGCCGCTTACAGTGATTTCCAGCGCCCCATCTTGGTTATCCTGGTTCGATGCTGTTCCCATCAACACACTTTTCTCTTTTTCGAGGTTTTCTTTTTCCACCTTCAGCCTAGCCTCCTGTCGGGCAATCTCTGCCTGGAAGACGAACATTAATGTTCCGATGAAAGAAAATAGTCAAGCAACAGCAAGAGGACACACAAGTATACACTTTTGCGACTAAACTAAACAAAACCAGAGAGACCATAAATCTACAGATACTCGAACCATGATGGGTTCTGATTAGAATTGTCTAACTCAATCACATACATTTAATCACTCCTGCTGCAAAATAAAAGTATTAGAAACAACCTTACAACAGTGACTGTATTTCTAAAGACAAGTTTAGAATCGGGATTCCCTTTACCGATACAAATTAATCGAAATCGTTCATAGAAGAACTACCACTTTGATTCGAGTATTAAATGATGATAAATGCATGCCAAAAGCCTATAAAGAGACAATTACAACTTAAAATGGTTAAATATAGAAGAAGCAACACAAACAACAAAAACTTCATGAGCAATTTAGCAATCAGGAAATCAGCAACATGCCCTGATAAAGGAGTTATGATACTTGGACTCAAACAGTGTCGGATACACATATGTGTTTGACACAAACATATTCGAAACTCTGAGGTTTTAATGTATCGTATCCTCATATCCATGTCCCGGTACACATCGGGCACCGCGTCGGACATGAAAACTTCAAAAACATAGAAAAGGGGGAAACAGTTCATGGATGGCATGATCCATAATCAAGACATTGGATGCTTATAGCATTTGTCGTCATCATTTTCGCAGGCTGACAGCAGATACATTTCCAACAGATATCAATGGACTTATTTCTACAAATCATTGCTTCCAAGGCATGTGGGGATGGCCTTTACTATCATAAGCCGAGAAATCGAGCAAATTAGCCATTCAAGAAGAATTAATTCATAAAAATAACAAAAACCCACAATTCAGAACCCCAAATTCAAGATAAACGAAACACACCCAATCATCAAATACCCTCTTCAATCTCAATGAACTTAGGAAAAGCTTAAAAACAGTTGTAACGCAGGGGTAATGAATGAAGTAAATTTTCCCAATGTTTTAAATAGGCAAAGGAAGAATAAAGGTGACCTCACGGCGAGAGAGCTCGGCCTTCCAGGCGGCTTCACGCTCGGCGACTTCACGCTCGCGTTCCTCGATGTAACTTTGCATCTCTCTCTCCTTCATTATTCGGTCTTGTATGTCGGCTTCCAAAGCCTCTTTCAGCTCCTCCACGAACTTATCCACCACCGACTTAATCCTCAGCGACATCTTTCTAAAATTTCAAGGGAACCAGACAACTGTTAAGCTACTGCCAAATCAAATTTCAGTTGAGTTGATCGATCATCGAATGATAGCCCTTTCGTCCCATTATGTACATCCGATACTTTCCGTTCTTTTTTTCTTGCAAGTAATGAATCGAGAGAACCCAATAGAAAGGTAAACTAGATAGCAGAAAGCAAAGGTATTTCAAGGAAAGGTATTGGTAATGGGCTAATCGCCGAAAAACAACATTTTTTCTTCTTTTCTTTTGGGAACAAAAATGAAATAAAATGCGTGAACAAGGAAGAAACCAATCCCAACCATTTGTTTATATTATGGTTCAGGCCCGCGATGGGGCCTCATCTCTTCTAAGCCCACCATTGATGACCTCAAAAACGCTGCCTTTCCCTTTTTGCATTGTCTTTTTGCTATAGAAATGAAAGAGCTAATCCCACTAGGCATCCGATCCAAATTTCAAAATCTTCAAAGTATTACTATCATATACATAGACAAAATCAATAAATTTATAATTTTTAGAAAGAGAAAGTTAAAAACTTTATGTTAAAATCTAATATACAGTGTATTGAAAATACATTAATCAAATTCTGAATATATACGCTTATCATATATATCACTTAAATATAATACTCAAACTGATAAAGGATTTGATTGCTATGATATTAATATTTTAAAAATTGAAGAAAAAACCCAAATTGCTTCCCCCGCTATCAATACATTACGAGGAGATACCCCGATCTCCACTCCGCTTTCGGTATGTTGGTAGCTTACAACTCGTCCCGTGAATCTTCGTGTCTTCCGGTTGGGATATATGATGTATAAGCTTTGATTATAGTCGCGTATACATCGATTCCTCGCAAGTACTCGGCCTGGTTTTGAAACTGCAATGACACGGTACAAGAGTTACAATCAAATCGCATGCCGACATGCGAGCATAGAAAGCTAGGATCAAACATTAGGAGGGAGTAAATTACTTTAAATAAAAAGAACAATGGTCTATTAAGTATTTAAATCTAAAAACTGAAAGAGACAGGTTTTATATGACTAGTATTCAAAGTAAAAAGGACTTAAAATATTATTATACCAAAAAATCTGGGTTGCGAGCATCTTATTTTGCTAAGAGTACTGCCTAAAACATATTCAACAAGTTCTTTACTTCTACCGGAGGATGATCACTAAGAAAAGAGGCACAAATATGCAAGCATGCACATTAACATAAGACAATAATTATACAAGATAGGAGTGTTAGCCATAGGCGAGAAACCAATAGCAGGCAGGCCCAGTAGCCGAAAATTACGAGCATCTGTTGAGGCAGGAAATATCTCAGGCTTTCCTATTTTTCCATTAGTTTTCCTGATAGCTTCATCCAACAGAGCCCGCCATGGATTAGAGCTGTTGGTTGCGGTCACAAGCGACCTTCCCAGGTCATTCTGCAGAATACCCTTTCCCCTAAACTGCCCAAAAAAGATAATCAGTTCAAAAATGCAATGGAAAGCTACTTTGTGATCCATGATCTCAAGGTGATGTTCATGCCTCAGTTTGGGCGTTCGATGTCGTTCGACATTTCTAATGGAACAAGCAGTGGGAAAGATTGAACTGTAACATGCCAACATACTAATTCCACCATTGTATGAGTCCATGAAATGTGATTGCAATCGTCGGACTTTTGTCATATTACAGAATACAATTTGTTTTCAAAGAGAAATGTTTCAATATATTTACCTCAAATGACATGTTTCGTGAAGCAGGAGCCCATTCCTCTGCTATCCGTTTCTCCAATGACTCTAGATTAGCCATCGGTGGTCTTCGAATATCAAAACCGGCCTCCGCTTCCAACAGCTGCAAATTCATGACAAAACCCTGGCAGGCAAACAACATAAAAGATGTGAGAGACTGGAATCAAGGAATCACTAGTTGTTTCTACAGATTTGAAGAATATTTGTGCATGGATTTCGGTGTGGCAACGAAACTGATTAAAGCAAATGGAAAACTCGTCGCAGCAGGAAAGATAAGAACAAATCTAATCTCTAATGATCAACTATAAACACTTCTAAGTTCTAGCAATCAAATACAATTTTCAAATTGTTAGAATTCAATTATGCTCCAATAAAACTCAGGAAAACAGCCTCAAGATTTCATCTAAGCCTAGCAGGATGCCTCATCTTAGGCCTCCCAAAGTTTGCATATCATGTCTTTGCTTTAAAGTCATATGCTAATATTTACCATATGCAATTCGACTCGGATGAGAGTTCGTCCATCTAAAAAATTCAATAAACTTACCGTCAGGGAAGGCATGATGGCCTTCAGGAACGCCATATTAACTGAGATGACTTCAACTTCGGCCTCCAAACCCGCCATCACCAAATCAAATTGTTCAGCCCGGAATCTCATGATACTCTCAATGCTCTTAAAAGGTTCTCCACGGCACTACTATCATAAAGATTCGCCCCATGTCCGGCAAGGCCGGTTCTGTTTTTTTCTTAGCCCGAGACAAAATTAAAAAAATGGACCCTAATTTATAAGAATATTAAAAAATATGCAATATAAAATTTTAATTAATTTATTATTAAATTAATTAAATATTAATTTATTACAATATCAAAAATGTCAAAAACATATTTAAGCGTATAAATACTTATAAAAAAACATTGTCTTCGAGCATTTCTTGATGCAAATCATTGATGATAATGTCAACATCAAAGCTTTCCAACATATTTTTCTCAATATATAACATAGCTAACTCATTCAATCTTTCTTGTGACATTGTTGACCTCAAGTAATTCTTTAATAATTTCAGTTTTGAAAACTTTTTTTCGCGGATGCTACCGTTACCGACATTGTTAATAAGATTCGATAAGCAATTGAAACATTATGATAACAATCTCTAGCTTTAACAAACTCAAGAACTTCAAGCGTTGACATGAATACATTTGACAAAGTCAATTGCAACACTTTCATTTCAGAAAAAAAATCATCTGCATCAACATCTGACAAATTATTATGAGAAAAAATAATCTTAAAATTATTGCAACATTCTTTTACTTTATTGTCATCCAATGACTTAAACCTTGTAGAATCAATTAAAAATCCCAAATAATTTTCAAAAATTTTTAACTGCTCAAATATATCTTTTAAAGAAGCGATTGTCATATCAACAACAACAACAAAATAATTAACTTTAAAAGACTCATGTACTGATTGCATTTCTTCATCATGGTCATTCTCGTCAAATTGTCTTTTTCTAAAAATATGACGCTTAGTCGAAAAAATTGGCTCTATGTTCATATCTAATACAAGACTTTTAGCAATATCTATACTAGCTTCGAACCCTTATTTCTATAGTTTTCAAAATATGACATTACACCTTCCAACTCCTTTATGGTAGTATCAATGCACATTGATTTAGATTGTAATTTCTTACTTACTGTGTTGATAGTAAATAAAATATCATACCAGATAACCATTCCAAGTAAGAATTCAAAACTTTGAAGGGCACTAGCTAAACTTTCTGCTTCACTTTTTGCTTTTGCATCATTACCACAATATTCATATAATTGTAACAAACCTAACCTTATTTTAGGAGTATGTCATTTAATAGCTTTGACACTTTTAATTCGACTTTTCCATCGAGTATCAGATAAAGATTTCACAGTTTCCGGAACATTATCACATAAAATTTTTCACCTTTTGGTAGAACTTGCGAACAATGAATGTATACGTTGCACCTGTAAATGGGAAGATCATCGATCGAAGTATTTATACTCCAAATTCGCAATACCGTAATAATTGAACTTAGAAGGAAGATGAAGTATATGTATATCCACGTTTGACATTTCATGTCCAAAATTTATGAAACAAAAAAAAAGAATAAGTTTATCTATAATTTAGAAAAAATATAAAAAGAAAAAAGAAAAAGAATTTGGAAACACGAACTTACTTAGGATTTTAAAAATATCTTCAATGACCACAATTGATGATAAGTAATTGTGATTTTGTACTTGTGAATTGTGAGAAATATGAGAAATTAAAAATTGAGAACAATAAGAAATAAATTAATTTTACTTAAATGTTCTCCTATCATTTATATGAAATAAAAAGTAATCGTTATAAACATTATGGTTAATTTAAATTTTAACGTTATGATGAGAACAATAAATCAATAAAAAATAAGTTTATGGGTCTTATTTCTAATTTAGTTTATTAATATTTATGAGTTCTGCTTTTAATTTAATATATTAATATAGTTTTTAACATTATAATAAGAATAATAAATTAATAAAAAATAAGTTCATGGGTCCTCTTGCATTAATATAAAAAAATAGAATAACCTATAATTCTCATCAGAGGAAGCCAACCCTGTTTCTCAAAAAACCACATATTTATCCAACAATTGCAGACAAGCTTTCACCCCAAAAAAAAAGAAGTTAAAATCTTATTACTTACACCTTCATCAAGCACGATACCGACATTCATATCCTTGAAGACATCAGAGGAAGCAAACTTCTGAGCACCGGCAAGCCCACCAATCTCCTCATCGGGAACAAACGACAAGTAAAGAGACCGTATTGGGCTAAACCCAGAAATCTTCAACCTACGAACAACCTCTATATACTGCATCCAGACGTATTTCATATCCTGAGAGCCTCGAGCAAAGATATTGCCTTCTTCATCGATGTGGGAACCGAAAGGAGGATAAACCCACTTTGAATGTTCAGAGGGGACAACGTCGGTGTGAGAGTTGAGGAGGACAGAGGGAAGAGAAGGGTCCGAGCCTAGACATTTGAGGAGCACGATTGGCTTGCCTTCGACGAATTCGAGGACTTGGGATTCTAGGGAAATGGAATTGGCTTGCGATAAGAGGAATTGGGTTGATTTTTGGTAGTCTGGGGATGGTTGGGAAGTGTTGATTTGGAGGTATTGTTGGAATCTTGAGATGGTTTTGGATTCGTCGTCTTGGATTGACGATGTTGTTGAATTTGTGGGGAGTGGAAGTACAAGGAATGGAACAGTAGATGAAGAAGATTGAAACCGCGAGGTGTTTCCATTGATGAATTATTAAAATATTTTTAATTCTTACAAAAATATATTGTCAAAATTCACCCTAATGTTTATAAAATAATTATTTTAACCTTTATTTTTATTTTTAATACTTTAATATCTAAAATTTTATTTTAAGATAAAATATTTCATCGGATAAAAATCGTTAGTTGATAAATGATTAGCGTATGTTGATGATATGAGATTATCATATATCTAGGGTAATGACATAATATATGTCACGTGTCAAAAGTAATAACATG